AATTCCTCCCGTTTTTCCCCGACAACCAGGGTTTCTCGAAAACCGACCACAAAACTAAAAGTTTTTAATGGAAAACGCAAACAAAAACATTATTTTCTGATGATTTTCTTGTTTTCAGCCAAAAATGACAACATTAATTGTGCTAGAAAATTCGCACTTTAGAAAACCCATTTTAGATTCGAATTTGGGACAAAAACCAAATAATTTCATTCAGTTTTTTACCGAAAATAATTAGGACCATCTTGAAAAAAAACAACCACAAAGCAGAAGTTTACAAAACATTATTGCGAAAATTCGCCGCCCTCAGCTCTCTGAGGATTTCCAAAGTTCCTTTAAATTTTCAGGTTATTCCAGTTTTAGCAAAGTTTCTATAAAGCAATTTTTTCTACGCAAAAGTCGCATTATTTTTGAGTTTTCCTTAAAATACTGGCAATCTTCAGGTATTTTCTGTGAAAAATTATAAGATACATTTTATTGGAGCACTCGCCTCCTTAACCGCTTTGCAAAAATCTTTGGAAAACTTTTGGCAGCTTCGAACCATGGACAAAACCCTAATAATTATTTCTGGGTCTTTTTCCAAAAACGTTTCCCCGAACTAAACCAAATTTTATAATCAATTATTTGGAAAACCCTTGGAAACTGGAGTTTCTTCACTTTTAGGGCAACATTTCTAAACAACACTGTCTCTAAACAGAAAAACCGCGTTTTTCCTAAAGTTTTACTGTAAAAAACTGAATCTTTTATGCAAACAACTTAAGAGATCGACTTTACAAGAAAACTCGTCGACTTTCTTTGGACTCAGTTCTGTTGCAGGAAAAATCTACATGACTTTTTTTAGTTGGTTGAACAAAGTAGTAAAACCTTACTGAGAAAAATGTTGATGGCCCTTTTGTAAGATTTTTAGACTCATTACCCGATGCGTTATAACTCAGTAACTCAGAGAGCGGCTACACCTCGATAGCGCAACTCAACGCAGTGTTACCCAGGCCTAATCTTTAGACGAACTTTGTCGCGTTTTTTGCATTTTCGTGCGTTTTTAGGTGACATTCCTGATGATGCCAATGGAAATCGCATGGGCAGCGACGGTTGAATGGATAGCTGGCGACGCCATGTGCAGGATAATGAGCTTTTTTCGAACTTTCGGCCTTTACCTGTCCAGCCTTGTGCTCTGCTGCATCAGCATCGATAGGTAAAAAATCCAGTTGATCCAAGCAGGGTTTTTGGCGAAAAAGCAGTGGCAAATTTTGAAATATTTCAGGTACTACGCTGTGCTGAAACCCCTGCAATTCGCCGACATAGACAGAAGGGAGAAAAATATGATTATCTGTGCTTGGATGGGGGCGGTGATATTCAGCGCTCCTCAGGTAACTGAATTGGTTATTTCTCGACCCAAATTTTCACCAACTTTCACCCGACATCCAATGCCAATTTAAGAGTCCTGCCCACTCAAAGAGGTAAAATTGCATTACAAAGTTGCGGGCCGAAGTTGTTGAAAAAACGGGCACGAAAGTGTAAAACCGCTTTTTTAAGAGCCCCAGAATGGCTGGCAGGTTTATTCATTTTGCGTCTAGCCGAATATTTCAGGCAGGTGTTTGGCCTGCTGTTCACATTCCAGTCAGGCAGCGATAATTACGCAAATTCCCTTGAATTTTGCAGATGATCATCTTCCATGTGGAACATCACCCGAACATAACAACGTATAGGCAATGTGTAACATACCACAGTTTCCGCACGCCGCTTCACGAATTAATTTATAGCGTATCTGGTATGGTAATAATGTACGCTTTTCCTTTGGCCGTCATCATCTTCTCTTATGCGTCGATTTTGTGGGAGATTTTCCGCAAAACCAGGAATAAGGGATGTGGTAAGTGAATATATCATATTTCAACTCTTTACTTTGTTTTACTGTCCTGACTGCGCCTAATTGTTATTATATTATTTTTCCTTGGGCTCCAGTCACAGTGCGAAAAGAACATTTTTTTGTATATCGTTTATTTCGTTACGTTTCGGCGAGACAACAGCGCCATCATCAGATTTTAAAATTCATTCAAACCCATAATTGGGAAACATTAGATTCTTTTTAGGCTTCGCTGCCTAAAAAGAATCTAATGTTTCCCAATTATGGGTTTGAATGAATTTTAAAATCTGATGATGGCGCTGTTGTCTCGCCGCAACGTAACGAAATAAACGATATACAAAACAAATTATGTCTTTAACGTCTTATGTTTTTACAAAATCCTTGACATTTCAAAAGTTATAAAAAGAAGAGCTTTAAGATCCTGATGACTCTTTATATGTGACGAGACTTTCAGACCAGATTCTACATTCAAAAAGATTACAAACGTATTTTCTGGATCAAACTCGCTATGGATGTTTTACAAACCGACCGACCACCCCTTTAGAAAAACTTGCTCAGAAAGAAATGTCCACTGGAAACTTTCGAGGCTTTGAATCTGCTGGCAATGCTCGGAAACTTTTCCCGAAACTACCCAGTTTTTCAGTGAAAAAGTTTCGGAAAAGTCATCACTAGTCGGGAAACTTGAACGAAATTCTCCATACATGTGCATAATAAAACCGACCCAATTTTTTCGCCTCTTGGCAGTAGACAATCGATAATATTTCCTCAAAATCCCGTAGCGAAAAGTGACCCATTATCAATAAAAATCATCCATTTTTTTTTAAGTTTCCTAACTCAACTCTTAGTCCGTTAAAAATTCGAGCTGGATGCAAAATTGCCACTTTCGCCGATCTTAAACAGCGATGTTTGGTCGATATTTTAAGGTAAAACACTCGCTTTAGAAAGACAGTTTTCCTACTCAACTCTTAGAAGTTTGCGAATGACTGTTTTGAATCAGTTTTTGCGAAATAAACTGTTCAAAAACCATCCATTTGTTTAAAAGTTTCCTAATTCAACTCTTAGTCAGTTAAAAATTCGAGCTGGAAGCAAAATTGCCACTTTCGCCGATCTTAAATAGGGATGTTTGGTCGATATTTTAAGGTAAAACGCTCGCTTTAGAAAGACAGTTTTCCTACTCAACTCTTAGAAGTTTGCGAATGACTTTCCTTGACCAGAAACAGTGAAGTTTCCTTGAAATAAAAATAAGTTTTTGCGAAATAAACTGTTCAAAAACCATCCATTTGTTTAAGAGTTTCCTTACTCAAGTTACAAACTCCAGCTGATAGTTTAAAATCGTAACTTTTCCCAGACTTAAGCAGTGAAGTTTTGCCAATATTTTAGCATAAAACTCTCCCTTCTACCGGGGGTAGTTTTTGAGCCATGAGTTGTTGGAAAATGTCTGTCTAAAACATTTCGTCTTTTCAACTTTTAAGCATTGGAAAAAGCGACTTTTCTTGGATTGACGAAGTAACTCTATGATTAGTCTTCCGTTCTTTGCCCGAAAAAAAAACGGGTTTTTCAAACGATTTCTTCATCTGAACGCATTTTCGTATTGATACTAAAATGTTCACTTTTTACTTTGCATGTGCAGCGATCCCCATTAGCTAAAGTCCCTCAAATCGACCCATTTGAAGGGTTTAGTTAACAGGATTTATGGGAAGTGAGCGGTTTTGCAATTCAAAAATACTCAAAAACCATTGACTTTTGCAAAAAGGGCCAAGGCGCCCTTTTTAACATAAAAACCCTGCAGTTTAAGGGAAAGTTGAAAATCGGAACTTCCAGCAAGAGCCCGGATAGTGAGAAGTTAACTAATCAGAGGAGTTTGTTTCAGCTGATAGCGTAACCAGATCCAGCCTGGGAGTTTTGAGCAAGGCGAAAACGAGGACATTGAAGATGACCATCATCATCGTGTTTGTGTTTTTCGTCTGTTGGACTCCTTATCATGTGATGTGCGTTTGGTAAGTACGGCAACAAATCTCGAAACGTTGTTCACATGCGGATTGCAACAGAAAAAACCGACTCACAAACCCCCGCCGATGATAAACAGTGATAAATGTGTCGGCTGGAGCGCTAACGATGTCCATCCAGAAAAACATTCGTCAAAACGGTTAACGAAGCCATTCGCGTGTCACGCGTGCCAAGAAAACAAAATAATGAAGAAATGTGCTAAAGAATGGATTTTCAGGTATTGGTACGACAGGGATTCGGCCATCCACGTGGATCCACGTATCCAGAAGGGCCTCTTTCTGTTCGCCTGCACCAATTCGTGTGCAAACCCTGTGGTTTATGGCATTTTCAACATTAGAGCCAAGAGAAAAGCGGTGAAGGTGAGGCCTAGATTGAGCAGTAACTCGACCATTCCCCGCTCGTCTTACATTCCTCCGCACATTACAGCTGAAACTAGACTGTCGCCTTTGGAAATCTCCCTTAGGAGTCTTGAGTAGTTTT